ACCCCACCCCTGCAAACCTCCCCTCCCTTCCCGCTGAAATTTGATACTCTTTTTCTTCTTGGAACAATGCTATCGTAAATATATAGGTTTCTTCCTTTTTCACATCTGCTTGGTGAGCTCCTCATAAGCTCATGTCCTGGCTGCTTCCTTCTCATCTTTAGTTGAACCTTAAATCTTACCTCCTCATAGATTCCTAAACTCTCTGTTTTGTTAAGTTTTCCCATTATCATCCAACATGATACACTCTATCACTTTCATAGAATTATTCTCAATTTGTATTGCAAATATCATTTGACCGTTTGCTGCCTGTCACTTTCACTAGACTCTAAATTCAATGGGGGCTCCTGGGCTGTACACAGTGTCTGACACAGTACAGGTGCTTAGTAAATATTAGCTTAATGGTTGCATATTATAAATGAAGGAAAGGCTGAATCCATGACTATAACCTGGGTTAAATTTCTAAAATGAAATGGATGGGGCAAAGTCTAAGTTATATATAAATTATTACTTAATTTCTACCCAAGTCTCCAGTGGAGAGATTTTGCAATATGTTTACACAGCTGCTTGAATCTTTTTCCAGTTAGCCAAAGAGTACGGCCCTGTTTACACGTTATATGTTGGATCCACGCCCACTGTGGTCTTGCATGGATATGAGGCGGTGAAGGAAGCTCTGATCGATCAGGGTGATGAATTCCTTGGCAGAGGACCTATTCCAATTATTTCAGATTTCCAAAAAGGACATGGTATGTATAAATCAAAATGTGGGTTCATTTTCTTTAGCCAAAAATGACTAACAGTAAGTGTCTGATCTGCACCAAGCAACTGATTAGATGCTACAATACTGCAATGTAATTTTGAGTTAGTGCAGACTCTCCATAGGTTAAGGGCGTTTTCCCCAACAACACTGAGCTCACTTCGGATGCTTGCCGTAAGTTCAGGGGTTCCCAGGTCATCCATACTTCTTTTTTTAAAATATATTTTTTATTGATTTTTACAGAGAGAAAGGGAGAGGGATAGAGAGCTAGAAATGAGAGAGAAACATCGATCAGCTGCTTCCTGCACACTCCCCACTGGGGATGCGCCTGCAACCAAGGTACATGCCCTTGACTGGAATCGAACCTGGCACCCTTGAGTCCACAGGCCAATACCCTATCCACTGAGCCAAACCAGTTAGGGCCATCCATACTTCTGACCAACTGGTGAAAAATTCCGGGGTTCCCATGACCTCCTCCGTTTTAATAATTGATAAACAATTCACAGAACTCAGGAAGGTGCTAACTTGTAATTACAGTTTTATCATATGAAGGATGCAAATGAAGAGACACAGAGGGCACGGTTTGAGAGGGTCCCAAATGCAGAGCTTCTGTTTCTGTGTCCTCTCCCTAGAAATGAGAATGTTACCCATTGATGTGTTCAGCAACCAGGAAGCTCACCTGGGCTTTGGTGGCCAGAGCTATTACATGGCCACGATGGACTGAGTCATTGATTACAATCTCTAGTTCCTTCCACTCCCTGAAAGTTGAGGGATCAGTTGATATCCTTCTATTCAAAACCCCAACCTTCTAAATCCATAGTTGGTCTTTCTGGCATAGCCAGCTCCATCTTTGTTTTTATTTTTATTGTGTAATACTTGATATATGCAAAGAAATATGTGTACTATATACCTCAAAAACCACTTAAAATTATAAAATTGCAAGTCCCAGAGAAATGTAAACTTAATTCCATTAAAGAACAAAATTCTACTGAGGAAAGTTGAAGCTCTAATTGGTTTTATGAAGCTGTTCATGTATTGGACAACACCCCATATATATGAGGAGGACCTCTGAGAGGTTGTACAAAAAGGAAGGTTTTAATAGATGGGTGTGGGAGGGGAATTAATAGCAAAAGGAAACAAACAATTATTTGTAGGCCAGGTCGTCTACTTTTTTGGAGAAAGGGAATGGCAGGAGTTTTATCATGCAGATTACCTTGCTGGAATAGATCAGGAAATTCTGTGCTGATTGGTTAAAAATTCCTCTCTTGGGAGAGACTGAAACTGCAATCAGGTTATTAAGTTTTGGTTTGGTGACTGGCTTAGCAAAAGTGACTCCATTTCGGCCTGTATTTCTTTTGTTAACAATTCCCTCCTTTTGACCAAACTTCAGTCCGAGAGATACAGTCAAATTGTCAGTCATTAGTGCCACTCTCCACTCCTGCTCTGTAGTTATGGAAGCTTTTATTGATCCTCTGTGTGATAGTCACAGGTCATGATGTTTTTGTTTAACCCGTGTGATACTCACTCATAGGTCACATCTTCGGATTCGTAGTCCTTAAATAGGTGTTGGTTGTCGCGTAGGACTCCCACCACGTCCCGCATGGAGTAGGGTTCAGTACTGAAAGAGGGGCCGCACACAATTGAGAAAAAAGACACGAGATAATTTTGCAATATTGGAGGACCGGGCGGGCAAGTCCAACTCAAGGAGAGGGACTTCCACCTAAGCTCAGGCCACTCCGATCTTTTATTGAGGTCGGGTTAGCCTTAGGTAAGGAGATTTCAATGACACATGGATTAGGTCATCGGTAGACAATTTCCAGAAATAGGCAGGGTATCTGATCAACAATAATCAACAAGGATCTACACAAGTATCTAAGAAATTCAGTGAACTAAGGTGGCGATGATGCTTTAGCTAGATTAACTGGGTGGTGTCTTAATTAACTGGCTGATGCACAGCCCTGACCTTTGCTAGGACTTTCAAGCCTTGACTTTGGCCAGGACTTTCAAGGGCTACTAGCTTTTGGGGGGTCTGTGTCTAAACTCAGCCCTGAAGACAATGAATGGACTCCGGCAGTGGGTGTGTGTTTTGATGTCCCAGTCTTAGGTCATTTGCTTAGATCATTAGCAGCTGCCAACGGGCGTTGACTTTTGAGAGGATACAACATGCTAATGAAACTGATGGTGCGTCAGGAGGAATACGAAATTCAGACTAAGTTACAGGTTTTGAACAGAGGA